TGGGGTGTGTGTGTGGGGGTGGGGGGGGGGGGGGTAAATACACTTGCAGATATTGAGGGTTTTGTCTTCATTCAGAAAAAAATAACCAAATGCATTTATTTCACCAGGCAGGAAGGGATAGTTTGTGTTGCTTCCTCTAAGGCTCTCCGAAGGAGGTCCAGGTTTGCGTTGTAATGACAGCGAGTTCTTTGACGAAAGACCAGTGTTCTCCAATGAAACCTAAACGTAAATAACACAAATAATAGGGTCACGTGGGCTTCACCAATACTAAAGCCTGCATGAGTAATAATCCGTCACATTTCCTTCCTAGTATAAACATTAAGAGTAGTCCAATGGGATGGCGTGAGAATACCTCGGTGAAATCCAGCAGCATCCCTGTAGTTGGATCTCTGTTGACGGCGAGACCTGAATTTAGTGGCGATGAAGTGCAGTTGAGCAGGGACTCGACATTCACGTTTCTTTGTGTCACTCTGGAAAAGACAACACAGCAGAGTTTTATAAAGTGACTTCTTATATACTTTTTATTCGATGTATGATTTATTCCCAAATCTAAATATATGCAAAATATGTGATGCATAAATTATTATTATTATTATTTTTTTTTTGTTTGCTTTTGGATGCTGTAGGAATAGGGAAAGCCCAAGGAAGTACAGGGAGTGGATACAGCCATACAACACAAATATGATTTATGCGAGGCATACACACTTGAGAAACTTTTGAAAGGCAAAGTCTGTGTCGTGTAAAGGAAGCCAGCCAGGATCCTGTAAAAACTGCTTCTTTACTTCGGCCTCCAAGCTCAGGCTGGTGGGGGGAAGCCCGTTTGGGAGCTGATGAGGGAAAAATATTACATGACAATATTACATGAGACCTGTTGAGTTTGCAATGACCCATCAGACCAACCACCAATACCTACCGTGCTTTGCGGTGGGAAAGGCAATCCTGGGGAGGGATGTGTGATGAGTTCAAACCTGCCAGAGCATCCCATCTCCAGCAAGGACAGAGGAAGGTCCACAGGGCCCGGAGGGGGCACATCTACAGAGAGGCAGAAGTAAACAAAGACACGCTATGACAACAAGGTAAGAACAAGATGATCAGTACAGCATAAATACGATCGAGGAAATAATTTTTTTTCTGTAGTAAAACACCGATAGGCTCAATAATTACTAACATGAATTCATAATTTAGTTGTGTTAAAGCCAAACGCGATGGTGCTGCAATGACTGAAGCCGGTAGTCTAAAATATCTGCGCATTCTCAAGGAACAAAGGTGAGGTAGTTTATAGCAATGCGCGATTACTCTGCAACTTTTGGTTGTTAGACAGAACAGGTGGGACGTTTGGCAAAACATGTTGAACTTACTTATTCTGTCCATATTCTCGATCAATGGTGCTGAGTTGTCGCATTTGGTTGCCTCGGAAGTAACTTGTTTGGCAAACGGAAGTGGCCTAAAAATCCAAGCCACATATGAAAATCTCTAAAGTAGGTCTTCGGTTTCAAAAGAAGTAACATATCAGTGAAACGTTTCTTATGTTCCGCAAAATATAATATGCAACTGCCAGATAAAAAACACGAACGATTTAGCAAACTTCGCTTTTTTGTTTTTGCTGAGAGAACCTCGGCATACGTCATATTTACGCGACTGTTTTTGTTCGGCGCTTCCTGTGAATTTGGTGAGTGCACAATTCAGGTCAATGCAGAAAAATGCTATTAAATGTATGCAAAAACAGCTCGAGGATGATAATTCTGGAGTTTTGAAATAGATTTAGATACGTAGATTTATACTTTTGTGCATTGAGTTTGGATTTATGGCTAGCTAATGTCATCTGGGTTGTGGGATCAATTGCTACCAACGCAGGTTTGACTCATTTTTCTTTTCTGTAGTGAAACCACTTTCATCATGGTTGTGTTTCCATCTTCGCTAACGGAGGAAGAAGAGGCTTTGCAAAAGAAGTATGCCAAGCTCAAGAAAAAGGTAAAGCTAAGTGGATTTTTAATCGCCTCTCGTGTAAGGTGATGCGATGTTGAGAAGAAGATACGCGCCTACATGCCCAGTGATGATCCTCATTTAATTAATTGTTGATTGTGTTTCAGAAAAAGGCACTACTTGCTCTTAAGAAGCAGAATACAACCAACCAGACAAACCCGAGTGGATTAAAACGGAGTACGTGAATTTTCGCTACTCTCTTTTCTCTTATCTCTTCTAAGTACAAAATGAGTCTTTAGCCTCTTGGTTATTTATCCATGACTTGATTACAGCACTGTCGGACCAGCCTGTTGTTGACACGGCAACAGCAACTGAGCAAGCCAAGATGTTGATCAAGTCAGGGGCGATCAGCGCCATCAAGTCGGAGAACAAGAACTCGGGTTTTAAACGCTCTCGTATGCTGGAAATTAAACTCAAGGTAAAATATTGTCCTTAAACTTGCATCACCCCATCAACTTTTTGTCTCTTTGCTTTGTAATATTTTTTCTCTTCTGTGTGTGTGTGTGTGTGTGTGTGTGTGTGTGTGTGTGTGTGTGTGTGTGTGTGTGTGTGTGTGCGCGCGCGCGCGCTATATCACCG